ATTTAGTTTTGTTTGAATAACATACTTTGACATTGTTGTGGTTTAAACCCAGCCAGTAACTTGGCACCATGCAGTCATTTGTTTACCTGCTTCTTTTCCCCCTTTGGTTGGGATGGGGAGAAGAACTGAAAGAAAGTAAGCCCTGCAGGTTGAAATAAAAACAGTCCAATAGCTAAAGTATAATGTAAAACTACCAATAATAATAATAATGGAAATAACAAAGGGAGAAAATATAAAACTAAAAAGGAAAAGGAGGAGGGGGAAACAACCCAGCTGTGATGCACAATACAATTGCTCACCACCCGCTGACAGATACCCAGCCTGGCCCAAGCAGCAGTTTGGGCATTCCAGGTAACTCCCCCCAGTTTCTGTACTGGGCATGATGTGCTGTGGTATGGAATACCCCTTTGGCTAGCTTGGGTCAGGTGTCCTGTCTCTGTTTCCTCCTGGCTTTCCATGCCCCTTCTCACTAGTAGAGCATGAGAGACTGGGAAGTCCTGATCAGGTAATTTCTGAGAAAGTGCAATAATATCTGGGGAAAAAAAAATAGTTAAACCAAGAAATTTAGTCATTAAATTTCCAGGGTTTTTTAAGTATTTTTGAACAGCAATAGGATTTTATAGAATAAAAGTCTCTTCTCATATTTCTCTAAAGAAATCATCATCGCTGTATAAATTTGATTTGCTTACAATATAGCTTCAAAATCTTGCTGTCAGCTTGCTATAAAACCAGACCTGATTCTTTAAGCTGAATGATCTGATACAAAAGTCTAAATGCAGACAACAGCATTAAACCATGCTCATCTAACGCTAGTTAGGTCTCTGAGACCTGGAAAGTGGTGTGAGGTCGCAGAGGACCTACAGAAGACCTGCACTGGTTGCTGGCAGGCAAAATATGTTTTGCAGTATCTCGGAAAGTATTAGATGCCTATGTCTAGGCAACAGAATCAAGCCCCTGGTATCTAACTTAGGATGAGCTAAATTGTTCTCAAGGCAACACTGATGATGCTGATTAGATTTCCATTGACTATAGTCTAAACTCGGACACCTGGCTGACATGAAGACACATAGATATGGACAGATAAATGTAGTTACTGCTGAGCTGAATCCCACCCCTTAGGCTCATTTCATTTATGTTCGGGCAGTTGAAAGAAGACCCCTGTTTCCTTTGCTATAATTTTCCTCTATTATCTTATACTGTGTTTAGAAATACTTTAGAGAATTTAATCTGTGAAATACCTGGCATAGAATAGCAAGGAACTTTTAGAGCCATAAACACTCCTTTATTATCTAAATAAATCACTGAGAAAGAGGTTTTTAAGGATACAAATGAAGAGTAGATGGATTTAAATCAGCAGCTTTAATCATGATTTGAACAATCAGTTGGAATCTTCGGTTCTGGTTATTTTCCTACAGAGAAAATTAGCTCATTAATTAGTAATTGTTAAAGCATTCAAATAAGCAAAGCTTTTTGCAGCAAATTTGCTGCTACTTTTTTGCTAGATTTTGTAGGTATTCCTTGTACTTGTTGAGTACTAAAGATTTAATAAAAATACCATTATATTTGCCTTTTTACAAACTTTTTATTAAAAAGAAGTAACTATAATAGGCTGTTTATTTACTTTTGGAAGGCTTGCTGAGAGTTTAAATTGGAATTCAAATAGAAAAGGATAAAAAGAGCTTTTTAAATGGTTAAATGCTTTGGTTTTTTTTAATTCAAGTTTTAAATCCCCATTGCAGGCATGTTTTATTTTTATGCTCTTTTATTTGAATACAACAACTTCAGAATTATGGACAGTATCATTTTAATTGTCATGGTTTAAACCCAGCCAGACAGTTCGTGCACTCACTCCCAGTGAGTGGTGCCGGGCTGGAAGCAGTCAAGGCCCACGTCCCCCCCTGGGGACTCCCCCCCCTTCCCCGTTCCCGGAGGGACGGGGAGGAAAATCAAAAGAATGCAGCTCCCACGGGTTGAGATAAGAACAGTTCAGCAACCAATGTACAACACAAATCGCCACCGCTACTACCACCAACAATGATAAGAGATAATAACAAGGGAAAAGAATACAATACCACCCGCCAAACAATGAGTCCAACCCCACAGACCACCTAGCCCTTCCAGGTAATTCCCAGTTACCTCCTGGGCATGACGTGCTGTGATATGGAATATCAGTTGGTCAGTTTGGGTGAGGTGTCCTGTCTCTGCCTCCTTCTGGCTTCCCCTGCTCCCTGGCAGAGCATGAGGCTTGCAAAGTCCTTTGCCAAACCAAAACATCATTATTATCAGCTCTGTTCCTGGCCCGAAAGTCAAAACAGAGCACTGCACTCTGACTCCAGGCTGAGCTCTTTGACTCTTTGACTCCAGGCTGAGCTTACACCACAACAGTTAGCTGTCAGCATTGAAGACATGGACATGTTAATAACTGTGAACCCCACAGTAGGACATAATGAATAGCAATGTTCACCACTTCTGTAGCTTGTTCAAATTGTATGGGTTAATATGCCAGAAACTTTTAAATTTAATCACAAATGAGGGCTTATTCATAAGTAGTGTATTTGTCGTATAATTTGCCTTTTGCCCCAGTATGGCAGCTTCTTTTACTCAAGAAAGAGCTAACATGGAATTTAATGCAGTTAATCTAGTTTGATGCTATAGAAATGGGAGAATTTATATGTATAAAATGTTTCTGAACTATGACTGCTTTCATTGTTCAGAAATATATTAATTGAAGTCAGTAATATAATGGTAGTAGAAGTCAATATTTACTCACTGACAAATCAAACTGGTCCTTTTGGTGTGCATATAATGTAGACTATAGTCATTCTCACAGTCCTAAAGGTTTAAATAAAGCAGCTTTTCCTCATTCTTTTGTGAAAGAATGTCAGAAGAGTGAATTCATAGTAAATCAATCAGTGTTCCCAGTCTGCCCTACGGCAGAGTGAAACCTAAGGATTTAGCAGAATATTGAAGTAAAACGGTTTGAACAGCAAACACAGAGGGGGACTTTGCTTTTAATGGTACTTCTCACATTCAGATACAGAGATTTAAAACATTTAGCATCCTGAGAATTCCTCAGTCGTTTCTGGCTTTCTTCTGCTTGTCTCTCTTTTTGGAGTTCTATTGGAAATGTGAGGACATCTTGATGTGAGGGGCAAATACAGGTGTTTAGTGCAATTTTTTGTGACTTCACGGAAAAGACAACACTTCCCAAGAAATAACCCTTCTTTCTTCCACTTAGAGAGGGAATCAAAAACCCTCTTAGTGGTAAAGTTTAATCTTATTGAAAAGCCAGCATAATAAAGCAGAGATTTTACACTTACATTCTCTAAATTGGAAGAAATACCAGTGATAAGAAAAATTCAAGTGCTTATGCAAAGATGCTGAGTACCATTCTGAACTTTTTGAGGTACCTGGAACTTGGTGACAGAACCTTAAATTTTTTATTACATTTTTAAGCCATGTGCATATATCTTGTGTATGAGGTCCCTTCCAACCCTTGGGATTCTGTGATATGACAGGGCTCACCCAACCACTCTCCATCTATCAGCCGTCCTGGTCAGGTTGGGCAGGTCCCAGAGGATTGGAGGTTAGCCAATGTGACACCTTTCTATGAAAAGCTCAGGAAAGAGGCCTGGAGACCTGCCAGCCTGACCACAGTGCCAGGGAAGGTCATGGAGCAGGTCATCCTAAATGAGATCATAAAGCATGTGTGGGAAGAAGCATGACTGGTGGAAGAGTGGCTGGAAAGCTGACCAGTGGGAAAAGACTTGGGGTGCTGATTGACAGTTGCATCTTGGCCTGTATCAGAAGTAGTGTGGCCAGCAGGGCCAGGGCAGTGATCATATCCCTGTACTCAGCACTGGTGAAGCTTCACCTCAAAATACAGTGTTCTGTTCTGGGTCCCTCATTACAAGAGAGACATTCAAATGCTGGAGTGGGTCCAGAGAAGAGCAATGAAGCTGGTGAAGGGTCTGGAGCAAAAGTCTTACAAGGAGCAGCTGAAGGAACTGGGGTTGTTTAGTCTGGAGAAGAGAAGGCTCAGTCAGGACCTTATCGCTTTCAACTACCTGAAAGGAGGTTTGAGCAAGGAGCTGGCTGGTCTCTTCTCTCAAGTAGCAAGTGATAGGACAGGAGGTAATAGCCTCAAGCTGCACCAGGGGAGGTTTAGATTGAATACTGGGGAAACTTTTTTCATCAAAAGGGTATTCAGGCATTGGAGCAGGCTGCCCAGGGAAATGGTGGAATCACTGCCCCTGAAGTATTCAGAAAATATGTAGATGAAGCCCTCAGTGACGTGGTTTAGTGGTGGACTTGGCAGTCCTGGAGTAATGGTTGGACTTGATGATCTTAAAGGTCTTTCCCAATCTAGTTGATTCTATGATTTTAAATGGGACTTGATACCTATGCTTAAGTAAATTCTTCGTCAAGCATTAGCAAGTAGAGCTTTTATCCTGGTTTCAAGTGTGTGCACTATATATGAACGTCCAAGTTTTCCTTATTTGTACATAAATTGAAGGCCTATATATCATTATGTGTTTTTGTAAAATAATTGCTCTGTCATTAGAGTAGATCTTCTGTAGGCAAATGCATCATAATTTTATTCTGATGAATATTTAAATCACAGATGAGGATGTATTGATGGCATTCACATATAACACCAAAAAAAAATACAGTCAAATAACAGAAGAACGAGGCTACAGTAACGCGTGTTTGAGTGTGTTTGTACCTATATGAAGGAGACAATGGTAATTATCTTCAACTGCAAATACAAAAATGAATGATAAGTAGTTGTAATGTGTAGTGAAAGGCATTAGTAAATCATTTGAGCAATAATGCATTCTTTGGAAATAAGCCAGTCATTGATGATAATTCATTGCAAATGTTTTGCATTCAGCTGTTTCCAGAACTGGGATTATATGTCTAAGCCAGAATCAACATAATGGAAAAAGTAAGACTTAGTGTTCTTAGGAATTCTGACCCATATACATAGATGTTTTTGCTGTTGTTTTGAATAGTTCTTATTTGAATGATATCTGATTCTGCAGAAGTTTAAGCCTGTCTAGTAAGATTATTTCAGCAGAATACTTTTATTATTTTGGTGGGTTAGCATTGGCTAACATTCAAACACCAACCCAGCCATTCACTCTGATTCTTTAGTAAGACAGGCAGAAAACAAGATGAAAAACCTTATGCATTGAGGTAAAGGCAAGGAGATTTTTTTACCAAGTACCAGGGAAAATTAATTTCATTTGTTGTCTTTTCAAATAGATTCAGGTATTGTGAAAGACAGACAAACATCAAACCAACGCATTTCTTCCCTGCTCTCCCAAGCTTAATTTCACACCTTCACTTCAGGCTCTTCTACTACTTCCCCTGAGCAGCATGCTAGGGTAGGGGTAGAAATAGGTATAGGTAAATCCTTTCTCCAACTCCTTCCTTCTCACGGTTTCCCCTTGCCCTGGTATGTGCTCTCCCATGGGCTGTAATCAGTCCTGGGAAAAAAAAAAGTAGTTCCTACAGCAAATATTTCCTCCTCCTTCTTTCTTCTTCTTTCTTCTTTTTTTTTTTTTTCTTCTCCTTTCTTCTCCATTCTTTCTTCTTATTCTTTTCCCTTTAGATGAACCATACAGCTGAGATCTTTTTATGTATATGGATAGTCATTAATAATTACTGTCTTTAGTTTCATGTAGTAAGATGCACATTGGATTAGATTTATATTAGTGAACTCAGTGTTGAATTTCTAGACCATTTATGGAAATCATTTAGGTAATACATCATTTCATTTCTTGTGACATATTGCATTTCTTTGAAAATGAAACAAATGTTAATAAATATTAATAAAATTCTGGTGTAATGATGGCAGCACACATATAATTTGCCATCATACAATTTTATCTTTTAAAGTCATTTGCCAGTCACCCTATTTCACTCTTCAAGTGTTTGGAAGCAGGGAGAGGGGGAAGTTATTCTGCTCTGGTTTTTGTTTGTTTCATTTTTATCTTTTTCTAACAAAAAGACTGGTTTATTGCTAAAATTCCTAGAAGCAGCAACAGTATTTCCTTAGTGTCATCTACTAATGGGAATTTCTGGGTTTTAATTCGGTCAGTGATCGTATAGTTGTTCCAGTGGTATGTGAGCTACCAATCCATTAGTTAAAAAGAATTATTTCTATGAAAATTATTCTCCATTTCACTGACATATTCTGCACTAGTATGGAAACAGCAGGTCATAAAAGCATAGAATAGTTAGGGTTGGAAAGGACCTTAAGATCATCTAGTTCCAAACCCACTGCTGTGGTAAGGGACACTTCACACTAAACCATGTCAATCCAAGGCTCTGTCCAACCTGGCCTTGAACACCACCAGGGATGGAGCATTCACAGCTTCTGTGGGCAACTCACTCCAGTGCCTCACCACCCTCACAGTAAAGAACTTCTTCCTTATGTCTAACCTGAACTCCCCTGTTTAAGTTTGAATCCATTATTCCTTGCCTTGTCACTACAGTCTCAGATGAAGAGTCCCTCTCCAGCATCTTTGTAGGCTCCTTTCAGATACTGAAAGGCTGCTATGTAGTCTCCACATGGCCTTCTCTTCTCCAGGTGGAGACAGCTTTTTAAGTATTTGGAGCTAAATACATCCACTTGTGCATCATGTTCGAGTGACCATTGTGGACTATATTTATGAGATGTGTAGGCAGTAGGTTACCTACGCTATAATAAGCAACATAAACCGCTTTTATATGTTAGTTTCACATTGTTCAGACTATTAATGCATTTTATATCAACCAATAACTGGATTTAAAACAAAAAAAAATCCTAGTAAATGTGATGGAGAAGTCAGCATCTTCCCTTTACTACTGTAGTGGAGCACCATAACCACTAAATTATGCCTTTTATCTATTCCTTATGAGTCTCTGTATTTTGTTATGTAGTAATTCATTTTCTGTAGAAAGCATGTAGGAAATCCAATGAGATCCCATTTTCCCTAAAACTAAAGATAATGTGTCTATTTATTGAGGTATTTTGTTTTGCAAGATAAGAAATAAACTGAACCAGGAAATTCTATATTTTATCCAACTTATTTCTTTAGTAAATTGTTACTAACACAATTTCAGTAAGGCTCTGCAGTGATTACCTTTTTCTGTAGTTGTGTTTAAAAGAGTGTACCTACAAATATAATGAGAAAGTTTTCAGGTTCTGGATACCAGCTACTGGAGTCTTCTACTTAGCCTATTATCTGCCTTGAGTAAAAGAAGATCCTTAGAAATTAGAAATTTAAACTGATCCTTAGAAATTTAGGTTGGATATGAGGAGGAAGCTCTTTACTGTAAGGGTGATGGGACACTGGAATGGATTGCCCAGGGAAGCTGTAGAATGCTCCATCCCTGGCGGTGTTCAAGGCCAGGTTGGACAGAGCCTTGGGTGACATGGTTTAGTATGAGGTTTCTCTGCTGTCCTGGGTTTAGCAGTGGCAGTCGTTTTTCTCTTTCTTGGTAGCTGGTGCAGTGCTGTGTTTTGACTTTCAGCTGGGAACAGAACTGAAAAACAATGATGTTTTGTTTTGGCCAAGGACTTTGTGAGCCTCATGCTCTGACAGGGAGGAGGGAAGCTGGGAGGAAGCAGGGACAGGACACCTGACCCAAACTGACCAAAGAGGTATTCCATACCACAGCATGTCATGCCCAGGAGGTAACTGGGAGTTACCCGGAAGGGGCTAGAGGGCCTGGAGGGTTGGAGGAGGTATCGTTCAGTGCTTGATAGGGCTGAGGGGGCAAGTTATCGGTCGCCTGGTGATGGGGTGTTGTATTCTTTTCCCTTGTTATTTCCTTTATCATTACTATTATTGGTGGTAGCAGCAGTGATTTGTGTTATACCTTAGTTACTAAACTGTTCTTATCTCAACCCATGGGAGTTACTTTTTTTTTTTTTTTTGATTCTCCTCTCCGTCCCTCCAAGAGTAGGGGGAGGGCAAGAAGTAGGGAGTGAATGGACAAGCTGTCTGGCTGGGTTCAAACCACGACACCTGCCCATGGCAGGAGGGTTGGAAATAGATGATCTTAAGGTCCTTTACAACCCTAACTGTTCTATGATTCTATGATTCTCTGGAATGAAAAACAGTCCAATAATAAATAGAAAAAGTTTTGATTGCCTTTTGCTTATCTTAAAATATTCTTTCACTTTGACATAACACAGAAGTATAAAAATGTATATGCTGAAATTGTCTTTAACTTAAGAACTCTGCCACAGAGTGAATCTATTTTGAAATATTTATCCATATAAAGAAAATATAAGGAAGCAAAAATAAGCATGTACACTGAATAGTTCAGTATACACAAACAAAGCATACAAGAAACACTGGACTAAGGTCTACTTTACTCTCAAAAATACTTAATGTTCTGTTGGTGGCTTTCTACCTGCACTAGAGCTATTAATATTAATGCAAATTACAGCTCTGTATCCTCAGATGTTATGTTCAAAGCCCATTTTGTGATGTCATTATAACATGTTTTTTTGGCAAAGTGATTTATTTTCTAAAATACTGTTCACAAGAATGTTCTGGCATAATTAAGTTAATAACATTACTTGTAATTTCTGTATTACAAGTAATTATCATAAAATGTTATGCTGATTAATGTAGACTAACAATGTTATTTTCTGAAAATCGTTTCAGCCTGTAACCCCATAGGCCTGTGATTTCTTAAAGGCAGACCTAATGGAAAATAACTCCACAGTTTGGTCAGAAACTGACAGACTGTGTACTCACCCCATCTTGAGAAACCCAGGATGGGAATTTCAAAAATTAAAGCACTATCTTTCTTGTGGCTCAAAATGCTTTCCCTTCCTTTGCTCCAGCAAACTAAGCAGAAAGTAATCCATGAGGCTTTGTACTGTTCTACATGCTGAAATAAAACTGTATGCTTTAACTGTAGTGATACATCCTACTGTGGTGGCCTCAGTACTATGCCTAGAAAATGTACACAAGGAAGATATTATACCTGAAATTTATTAATAGAAAAAGTTACAAGCTTTTGGCAGGTCTAAAGTGGGATTACAACATGCTGTATATAATGCTCTCCAAAATAACAGTATTACTGTCTTTCTGCTAAAGGTGCTTAAAAATCTTAAAACTGACAAGTCCTAGAGCTGATCCCAACCTCAGCTACTCACTCTTTGAGTAGCTACTTGTTAAGTCACTACAGCATTAGCTTTGCCTATATTCTTTCTTCTTCTACCTTGGAGCACGCTGCATGCGTATGAATATGGATGTACTTATTTTACACTGCCCCTTGCCTCTGGTCATCCTCAGCACCAGAACAGACCCAGAAGGGGCAAGACAGTTCTCAGTCAGAGGAATGGGGTGGCCTTGGCAGGTTGAGGCTGGTTCCACCAACCCTCATGTGATTGCTGCCCACCTGGAGGGAGCTGCTGCTTACTTGGAGATGAACAGCCTGACAGACCCCATGGAAGGGGGGAACAACTGCCCTTTGTATCATGGAGCAGGGGAGTACCTTCCACCTCTGCCACAGGGCCCCCAGAGACAGCCAGCCAGTGGTGGGCTAAGTGGAGGAGGGATGCACTGCTGGGGTGGGTTAGCACCAGGCAGGGTCTTGTGATATCAGAGAAGGGCCTGTGCTAGTGATGACTTCTGTCTGGAAGAAGCAGGGGCAGAAGAGTTAATGAAGATGGAAAGCCAGTTAAAGCCTTGCATAATGATTCATACAACGATGTAAAAAGTCACTGCTTCCTTTATACCTGTTAGAGTATGATTTTATAGTGTATTAGATGGTCCGAGGCTGAGGTATAAATACAAGCAAACTTGTTCCATCTGAGCTAACTGCAGAGCCAGAAACCAGCCAAGCAGGCAGAGACTTTCCCAGTTACTACTTATAGATCATTTCAGGCAAGGTGGCAATACAGCTACATCCAGATCCCTGTCATGAAAATAAGAGAACAGAAGGGTTTTTTCAAGAATTACATTGACTTGCTATTTGCCTTCTGAAATGTGGTTGTCAGAGAAGAAGTTGGAAAGCCTGTAATGTTTCTGCTGCTTATCTGTTACCTGGTATCTCCCGCTGAGAGATTAGATGATGTTCCAGTTAAACTAAAAGGAAAACTAAAATGCCAGACAGTTTCCAGCAAAAGATTTGTAAGCCCCAGACTTCTATTTCACATATTGCCATAATTCCTAGTTTGGAAGACACTTCTGTTAAAGCTTTGGATCTAAGAAAGTAGAATTTGAAGAATCATACAGTCCACATAGTTTTTTGGGTTGGCCTTAATTCCCCTTTTTCCCCAAGGAATTTTTTGCTCTAGTCCAACCCCCCTGCAAAGACAGGGTCACCTAGAGCAAGTAATACAGAAGTGCATCCAGGTGGGGTTGGAATGTCTCCTGAGAGGGAAATTCAGTCTATGGCTATTTAAACAGAGAGTAAGAAGTGATTTGGTCATAGTCCAAAGTATGCTCATAAAGAATGGATTCCTTACACCTTCTAT